GTGTCTTCAGTCGGAGGCTTCTTCAACTTCGCTGTAATACAGACCGCTACAGAAGATCTTTCTTGCCCTGGAGCTTTTGAAAACCACGACGCTCCTCCCATTCAGACGTGCGTCTAGTCTGTGTCCTGGTCTGAACATAGCACGTCCAACTTGAGGCTTTGGGTGCGTTTTGGATGCTCAAAACACATTCGGTGTGAACGTAGTATAAGGCTACTGTTGATGGCTTCATTACCATACAATACTCCTTGAGGAACTGATGCTCCTGTTCTATGATGTCTTTCAAAATAAACTTGGAGGAGATGGTGTTCAGTGCAACTATAGGGATCTCACAGATGCAAGCAAGGGCATCATAAAATGAGTTCCATCTCCTACTGCAAGGGACTAGCAGCTTCCTTAGGATGACATCATCAGCAGTCTCTGCAGCCACAGTTGAACAGCTAGCCTTGTTCCATAAAGCTGTGCATTTGGTTGTAACACTCCTGTATGTTGCTTTTGTTTCTGGTCTTGACAGTATCCACTTGTCAACGTCAGTACATGAAACAAGGTTTAAAAACTTTCCCCCCAGACTCGCCATTGCTGCAGCTTACTCTGGTATTGTTTCGTATTTGGAGCTGCAGCGTGTGGTTTGCAAGTGAACTGAACAGCACAGCCTCTGATTGGCTTACCTCTACCTGTTACTCTACCTTAGCCAATCATCATCCTTTATGTGATTGTTTCACCCCTCACCAAGGATAAAAAAGTAAACAACAGCTTGTGGCTAAAAGCCAGGGCGGAAGACAAAATAACATGCCCCATTTAGTGGTCGGTAACGGTGTTGTAACGATAGACATAGAAACTACTCAGAGTACCCATTAATATAAAAAAACTTCGTTTGTAACGCCGTTTATTTGTACTCCATTATTCCCATCACTGGTTGTCACGCACATTTCCACCATGTTTGATCAAGTAAAGATACTCACAGCTGACCACCGTAATCGACCTGACGTTTTTCTCGATCAGTAATCAAGATCAAATAATCACCTAGCCCTAACAGGCAGAAAACAAACTGACCAGCCCTGAAAACCTTGAAAGTTGAGTTAATGCTGCGTTTTGAGCCAACGCTTACAGTGTTGTAAAAGAATAGAACTGGTTCTAAGAATCAGAATCAGTTTTATTAAGACCCCCGCACGTGAAGCTTAAGCTGGAGTCATATTGTTTTCGTACTGTTTTTTTTTCAGTGATTTTTGGTCACCCGTAGCACAAAAAC